AGGAGATGAGGAGAAAAGACGCCCAGATAATGAGCGATGGCGCTCTCCCATGCGTCAGCATTTCCACTCCCCACAATCAATCTCACGCCCCTTCACCTTGCTTCCTCGACTCTTTTCCCTTTGACTTTCCTCTCTCGGCTCTCCAATGGCCGCCACGGCGCATAAAAGGAAGACTCCCAAAAAGCAAAGTGCCTTATACGACATGAACACCTTGGGAAAGAACATTAACATCCAAATCCGCTGTGGTGTAGTCGGTAACATTTATGGTTCTCACCCATGCGCCCCGGGTTCGATTCCCGGCAGCGGAAAAATCTTTTTGCCTTCTGTGCATACCTGTTTTGGGTGGTGATGATTGTTGCCATCCCAGACTGGGTTGAAGAGGATCTGTGCTGACACTGAAGGAGCTCACTGCATGAATTGAGAACAAGCTCCACAAGAAGGTGAGCCAGTTGACTGTAAAGACAACATTCCAGTCCCTGGACATCTCCTATAAGGAGGTGGTTCAGATTCTGGCTGGTGTTGCCAGGGCTTTGTGATCCTGTACCTCCTGCCATAGTTGCCCTGCCACAACCCAATCAAGTACATCAAGTCCCAGGTGTGCCACATGACCTTTCATGACAGAGAGGGACTTTGCCAGGCCACAACAGCAGCACAGATCATGGCAACAATGCTGTGGGCCAGTTCACACACATGATTCAGTTCTTCTGTCAGTGCCTGGATGGTCTTGAGTTCTCATGCCAGTCATCATCAAGGAAGTTACTCCTGTACAGGAATTGCAGTGGATGATGGCCACAGGTGCCACTTGTGTGCACAGCCAGCAGCTCCATCACTGTGAGCCACAACTTAAGACATGCAACCACAACTGAGATAATTTGTTGCTGCGCGCCAAGGCTCGAAGCGAAACGAAACAAGCAAGGCCTGTGGCCCAATGGAAAGGCGTCTGACTACGAATCAGGAGATTCTGGGTTCGACCCCCAGCAGGCCTGAAGCTGCACCTTTTTTGCCATTGCAATTAATATTAGAAGTATGCTGCAATTAATTGGCCGTACGCCACGAGACACGCCATTCTTTCCAGAGACAATGGCTGCCGTGCCGGCAACACAGCTGCTCTCGCCTCGTTGTGGCGGTGCGTGTTGTTCGGCGACAGACCTCCTCATCGCAATCGCATTTGCAATAACGGAATTGAAATAAAGATTTATCCTATTTTTGATTTATTTATTTGTATTATTATGTTTGTGTTTATGGTGGGTACCCACAGGCACGGTGGACTTCATCACCGCACTACCGCCCGAGTTGTCCCTGCACGTCCTCCTGTTCGTGCCTCTCTCGGCGGTCGGCTGCACCCTGTCGCTCGTGAGCCGGGCCTGGAAACGGTGCACCGCAAACCGTTTGTTTTTGGGGCACTCGAGAGAGCACAGCTCACCTCTCGACCTCGGTGGCGTTTGTGGTGTTGGCGCAGGTTCGCAGATGACGACGCCCTGTGGCGGGCAGCGGTGGCAGCTTCAGCTTTGACAGGAGGAGGAGGAGAAGAAGAAGACGACGACGACGGCGCCAGGGGCTTCAAGGCGGTGCTGAAGGAAGCGCTGCTCAGCAATCCGCTCCGTGATACGTGCCTCCCCCCCCTCTGCGCGAACGTTTTCTCGATGATGGTGGCCGAAACCTCACATGATCGAGTTTGGGGTGCATGCGTGGTGGCTTCTTGCACCCCTTAGATATGAGCCTCAGCTCACTCACGGCTGC